TACCGAGGAAACTAGCAACAAAATTCTTCAAAATAGTATGTTTTATTAGTGTCTTATTGTTTATTACTCAATTTTGTTGCATTCTTCTGAAAAGAGCGAAACAAACCTAGAATATGTTGCAAACTGTGCCTTTCCCATCCCCAAATCTCGTTCACACTAAGAACGAAAGCTAAGTTGCACACCTTTCTATTTATGGACAATTACTTTGTAAGACTGGTGAGAAACTCAGCAGGTATCCTGAAAAGATTTTAATGTAAACTTGTGATAAACGCCTTGTGGAATTAAGTAACTTCAAACAGCTATTGGTGGGGAGATTTCTGTTGCATATTGCCACGAATCCCCTTCCCCAAAGCCCCGTTCTCTTAAATATTTGCTACTACACTGAAATTATTCTCTTGGGCTTTTTTCACATTGAATCACGAGTATGGTACATTCAAATTCGAAGTGGACTAACCAAAATGAACACGCAAGAATAGCAGGAAAACTGCTCAAGAAAGAATGGTCTGGGTGGAGTTTTTCTCAAGACAGGAGATTGTAAAGGTGGGCTTCAATGTCTGACTTGTGACATTTTTTCTGAACCGTCTGGTGCGAACAATCTGAGAACGAACTGCTTTCTTTCTATTCTCCTAACTCTGTTAATTATGAGAAGAGTGAAAGTAATACTCGCTCCTTGATGCAACGTGGTAGCGAGTGGGTGGAGTCGTGGGAACTTATGCGATGTTTTATTGTATCACTCCAATCCGGTAGCGACTATACGCAGTCTATTTGTAGCTCACGCATGGACGATTTTTTTAAGTTTTAGTTTGTTACTCTGGAAACGTGAATACTAAAAACACTAAGACCACCAGCGACAATCCTTTTTTTCTAGAAAAATAATGAATCTAAATGCACATTAGACCAGGTGATAATTTGAAAATGAATTTGGTTGGAAATTAAACAGACCATCAAAGATGAAGACAGTTTAATAATAATCGCGAAAAAGTTTCATATCTGAAGGCCAGGTGCAACTCTACCTAAAGCCACATCAGTAACACGAGTTTCAGCATTTTGTTCAACATTGCTAAGGAACGGTTTTTCAAGCTTCTGCTGAGCAATCTTAAATAGTAAAGCGCTATATTCATGACTCTAGTTGGGTTTGTATGTGAAGATCGTGATATAATGACCACTTTACCCTTGAAGCGTACTTGGCTGATGAGTATTGGAAATAGCCTACTTAAGCGTTTAACAATTTGGAACACAGTCACTTCTCAGGTGCCACGGCAGTTACTTCCCTAACACCTTGAATACAGCGATTTGAGAAAGTTCTTTTGCCTGCAAGTAACTTATTTCAGAAACTTCCATATCACAAGCACGGTCAAGGGTGTGAAGGACAGCAAGATGAGGTGCGACGACATAGCCTTAATTGGAAGAACACATTTGTTTTTTACTGCTTGGAAGGGAATCGCCGAATCGTTTTGAGACAGCCATTGATTCGGAACAGTCTGATTTCCCGAGATTTAATAATCGCCCTTGGATTTTCAGCAAATCGTTGGAAAATAAATCGGCTGTACCCAGAGCAGACACGTGCGCCCTGTCACGGACAGGCAAACTTTCCCCCAGTGTTGACGCACACCACACAGTTGAATGCGATTCTGAGCTAATCTTGTGCTCGCGATCTGTAAGGTTTAACTTACGGGCGTTTATCTCAATGTGCGATCAACTGCTTTTAATTTAATTTGCTCAAATTTTCTATTGGAACACCATAGTTAGATTGCTTTTTTACTAAGGTTGAAGCGATATATATATATTACATATATTCCAAATTGAATGAATCGCCACGAACCGATTGAACACCGCACCGGTAATCTTCCGGAACTATTTTGTTCTACCCAGATTGCAGTAACTTTCCGGCTTACCAGGATTACCTTGAACCTCCCGCCAATACACCGGTCAGCATCTTCATATGATGTTCTAGCAGAAATGCTCGGCTCATCCCCCTAACATACGTCAAGTAAACAAAGCATGCTGTGAACCGAATTCGAATGCTCTATCTGGTTCAAAATTCAACAACCAGAATGAGTCCGCAGAGATATCACACGGCAAAGAGAAGCAAAATCTCAAGGTTGAGTGTCCCTTATGGTAGCGACATTCGTAGTGCTAAAAAATGAAATGATTAGTGCGAACCATAATTCAGTAACGACATAAAAATAAGACTGAATAAGAACAAAGTGTATCATTCTTAATCAGAGGGTTTCATGCTTCCGAGAGAATGAGTGAGCTTTATAGGATCTTCATCCTTCCGTTAGAAATACTTGGCTTTAGCAATGCTCCTCACTGCCCAACCCATCTTGAACACCAAATTCGGTGATGAAAAAATTTCCACTCATTACCATTTAGTCTCCAGCGATAGCTCATTTTCAAATTCTTATGCCTTGCCTAGTTTGATTGTTTTCAGCCCAGATTTAAAACCTGAAGTCCATACTTGGTCCAGTTTGTTCTTGAGGTCAGTAAAAGCTTAATTCTGGTGACTAAACGACGACAGTCATTCTCGTCTTGAAATCCCTCCACGTTACTTGAAATTTAGTCAAGGCACATTCCATACAAAGAGATGAAACCTCTCCACCATCAACCAACAAACTAAAAACAAGGCTTCATCCTTCTCACTGTGGAGTAAGGGACTGAAAAATTTGAAACGATGCGCACAATGACTTCAATTAAATTTATGCAGAGATTTATGGCCACGAATCTAGGCTCCTTGAATTTTTCCATTGGTTGTTGCCTGAGTAACGATTAACATCTACGTTTTAACTGACGCAGACTCCTTGCTTACTCCCGTTTTTTGCACACTCACCATCTTGAGTTTCTCGCTTGATAATCGGGCTCCTCTGGCGTCGCCCCCAATCTCAAGGATCCTAATTCTTTAGGCAGCTAAATTGATCCAAATCGGCTCTGTTTAGTGCTGCCGATAAAATTCCTCTTGGAAATAGACCAACGGTGTGTCAAATGATCGAATGCCTGTATACCGGACCCCAACTAAATTGGTGTATGACGACTTTCTCCAGTTTGAATCCGCTGCCTCTATAACCAAGGACGTTTGTCTGCTTTTAAACCCCCAGGTGTTACGGTAACTCACGGCCATAGTTCTAAATTTTATCGCTCCTTTGATATCGCAATCTGTTTTTGATAATCATCCATACATCACTAATCTATTCAGACTCCTCTCGCTTAACGCAACTTGTATTTTTGAGGGAAAACTCCCAGAATACATTACCAATGATTTAACCAAAAGACAGAATAACCATCAGGTAGCCAAAACATCCGTTTTTTTCTACATTTTTCAGCGTTTTCCACTTAGAAAATCTAAATTATTCAATCTTCATTGGCAACCCCGAGGTGTTTTATTCTGGATATTTATATCTTTCAAAGAGTGGATCAGGTACTTCGACAGAAATCCTAGCATATACATCCTAGCGTATACTGCAGACAATGAGTTTTAGCCTATGAGTCTTACCCTCTCAGACGCATTTACACATTGGCTAACAACCTTACCCATGGCCTCCTAATCCAAAAGGAGTAGTGCATTTCTACTGCTTAATATATCTGGAATATGGTACTCAAATTTTGCATTTGAAAAGTGATTTGTGGGCTAAATTACCCCTTGCAACATTCTAGAGTGGTACGCCGGCTGGAGCTGTAGCACTATCCGTAAAATGGCGGACTTGTCGAGTAAAAAGATTTTGGGAGAGACACAAGGAAAAGCACCGGGTTCGTTCAGTAACAATCAAGTAGTCATGATGTACTGAAGTCAAGCCTCAAGATTCAACTGGGACTGACCACCCAGCACCAGCCACCAAGCTCATAAAACTGTCGTGTTGGAATGCATGTAGGTGTTCTAGTACGATGGTTTACTCCGGTCAATGCGTCATCGCGTGCTCTGAACTGCGTAACTAAAAATGCGTAACGCTACATCCTGTCATTCTTTGCCTTAGTGACATCGTTGATCACCTGGCCGTTGGTCTGTTCCCCAAGTTTGGTAGTAGGCTTACAAATGTTCTCTCATCACTACGGGAAATAACATCATTGTGGAGCTGGGTGCGTACTCCCTCCTTACCTTGCCGCTTTTTGAAGATATATGAGACAATGAGGTCTCTCGTTTGCGCGTCTACCTGCTGAGCCTTGTTCTGTGCGTAGGCGCGAGTGTGTTAATCACATCGATTTGCTGGTACACAATGTGGAAAGAACACTATGGAAAATCAAATACAATCTTTTCTGCTTGAAAGTTAGGTAAAAACAATTTGACCTGATATGTGCATAGATCGTACGCATGGTACGTGATACAGATGGCAGCAGCGCAGACAGAATTGACGGGCAATGTTAACTATAATTTTGCTGATCAAATTAAGGGAAGTGAGTGAGAACCTAACTAAGTAAAGGGGGGCCACTACGAAGAATCAACGACGAGTTGTAGTGTTTGACCGCTGAGGAAATCTACATGCTTGCGATACCTTAGTGTTTCTGGTTGTGACCAAGAGTGGGGTGTTTGTGGCTTGGCTAACTTCCTAAAGGCTGCACACCATAGGCAGCTCCGAAATACCTGCTGCATACGTTCAATCGTACCGGTTCAATAAACACAGCATCAAGCGAGCGTTTTTATTCAGCGTACTCCGGATGTCCATCATGAACTTGAGCTAAGACCGAACGGTGAACATTGGCCTGATGGTAGTTTAATTGTATGAGTTTGAAAGATGACCGGATAGACTCAGTGTTCAGCTCTCCTGACCACTTTGTTTGCTTCTACTTCCTCCACCTCAGGTTGGCCATCCACTCTTCAGATACCAGAACCTGCTGACAAGGAAACAACAAGGTGCAAGTCTTTCTTTATAGCCAAGGAGCTCTAAAACAAACCGTTATTTCTCTCTAGAAGAACGTAGCTTCCTAGAAAAAATATCGATATCGAACCTCTTCCTCTGAGCGAACACTTGATAATTTCCGTCGGGAATTTGACTGCTTGAAAGTCACTCATGATCTCTGGTGCTGGTGTCAGCAATACCACGGTGTTACTGGGAGACATGCATGAGTGTCTAAGATGGTGATCCGGTACTCGTTGCCCAAAGCAACCACGTCATCAGAAACGTATGAAAGCGCTCTTTGGCGCCATTGCAGCAAACGCCGAGTTGGAATCTCTTCATGCGGAATGATTACGACGAAAAGGAGGCAAAAGG